TAGCAGCACAAATTTGTGCCATTACTATTTCTGCTCCTGCAAATGCATGCCCCTGCTCATGTGGATGTGGCCAGGCAGTGCATCAAGGGCAGTGTGAGATATAGTACAGCTTGAATTCCCCTGCCTGGCCATTTCCTGCTATAACCACTCTGCTCCAGATTCCTTTTTGTGCAAACTTGCACAAGAAACAGGAACCAATATTTCTTCCAAGCAAATTTCCAAAATGGGATCGAACAGTCTTTTGTTGCCAGTTCTCCAAACCAGAAATGTAGGCCCAGACAGAGCACTACAATCATTATCCCTCCACACTGAATACTTGCTCTTGAACATAGTTTTACTTTTATTAGGTAGAGTGTATATCTTCTGTAGGAGGTTGAAATCAGCTTTGGGTGAGATTCAACTGTCATAAATACCAATAAGCACAAGGTGTTTTATTTTAGGTGCTAGGTAGCTGGAATATGAGCTGAGGTTTGTTCCAATTTTTAACAGCTTGCAACAAGAATTGAAATAACTTACCAGGTAAACTATACCTGATATTAATTTAACATAGCTGTTCTGTTCGTAAAGGGCTTTTCCAGGTAATAAATATACATCATACTTGCAACAATGCATCACTATATAATTTCAGTGAGATTCTGAATATAGGATTCAGATGCACCCAACTCCACGTGTTCTGTACCTTAAACTCAAGAAGAGATTTTACATGCAAGTAGCAGTATAGAGCCTATAGGAGAGTCGTGGGCAGACAAGGTTCTTTGGGTCAATCCGATAGCTTTTATTAGACCAACTCAAATAGTTGGAAAAATTCTTCTTTGCAAGCTTTTGGGTAACAAACACCTTTCGTCAGGCAGAGGAAGCATCTGCAGTCGGCCTGTGCTCTTCCTAGACGACAGTCATGTTCATTTTGATTCTATCCAGCAGATGGTAGTAATATACAAAGAAGAGCTGATGACAGTATGGGCTATAATATCCTGCCATTTTTATTTTAGTCAGATATCAGTGGAAACCTGCAGCTACTTCAGTGCTGCTGTTTCATGCTTACCTCAGTTAGGGTATCTTAAATTCCTTTATGCTGCCAAGCAACGATATCTAACAACCTCAATGCTATTTCGTTTCTGATTATTCTTTGCAGTCATTCACAAGTTGTTAAATGTAGGACTTAGAAGTGTGCAGAGTTTCACAGCAGCAGCAGGATGTGTCTCCATCACGTGCCACACAGCAGCTCAGATGGTGCTTCTAGGTGTGGAACTTCATTTTTGAGGGGAAGGAATCATGCCCCACTACTCCCTTTAACTTTGTGCCTGTCACAACTCTCCACAGAAAACATTCTGAAGACTTCAAACCCATCTATAATTAGGAAGAAGGAAAAAAAAAAGTGTGCAGAAAAAACTACTCTTCTGAAAAAGACTAGGCTCCCCCCCGTATCACAACTTCAATCCAACTGATGGCAGATTGAGAACAACTCAGAACAACGTTGTCAAAATATTCTGCTTATTCCTTTTTTGGATAAAATTAACTGGTTGCATGTACCACCTCTTTGATCAAGCTGACAGACTGCATTATCTGACAGACTTCATTGTGAGACCATATGAGGCAGGAACAGGGAAACGCAGCCCCTTCTGGATCACACAATAGTATCTTGCTTGAGCCACGCTTGCACAGTGCTTTAGTGGTTATTAGACTTTCCTTGTGTGCTTATCTCCTGTGGCTTTTGGATAATTGCACTGCTCATGTCTGCTGTAGCATGTTGTAGATACGCCTCCAATATTTGCCTTCAAATCTCATCCTCACCCTCACTATCCCAGCATAGTGGGAGAGAAGGGGAGCCCTATAAATCTAGCTTGCAGCAGTCATCTTCAGGTCATGCAGGGAGGTAGAACTCCATGGCTCTTAAGACTTGTGCGCCAGGGGAAATACCATGACCACTAAGGCAGTTTTCCCAGTTGCAGGGGAAAACTACTTTCTTGGCATGGGTTAGTACCTTGACCAAGGTAAGGCATAGTCTCCCACTTCTCTTCTAGCAGGAAGATCTTGGCTTTACAACCTCTTTATGAAAATGGGAGACTCTTCCCTAGCTTACTCCTGTAGCCATATGGCTGAGGGCAAGCAAAACTTGGAAGCATCCAAACCCCAAACCTCCCGGCTTGGGTCTGCAGGTAGGATGCCTACTGCAGGATTTGGAAGCATCTGAAGCCCCAGGCAGGGCTGGAGGTTATTTGCCAGTAGTAGGGCCACATACGGTTCTTGAATGACTCATGGATTTGGCTTGGAACATGAAAAAATTTCCATAGAAAAACCCCCAAAACAAAAAGAAAAACTTGGGTTACTCTCATTTCTTTACTCAGCACACAGGGGCCAGAGTGGGAACAAAATCTCTTCTCAGGATACCAATGATTGAGAATTAGAAAAGCCTGTTTATCAACCCATTTAAGTCTCTTTTCCTGTGTGAGAGGTATCTGGTAAACCATCTTTCTATTTGCTTCTATTAAAAAGTGAGGGGTAAAAGAGGGTTTTTTTGCCTTCCTCTGAAGCACTGGACACAAGCTACAATTATAGGTGGGAATTTTGCCTCGGGTACACTTGTTTTAGTGCTGTAACTCAAAAAGCTCTCAGTTCCTGGCCTCACTCTTGCTCAGTGTCAAAGCTGGATTTTGCTTTGTGTCAGACTGGCCTAGAATGAAAGCGAAGCCTGCACGGATCAATCAATGGAACCAGTACCACATTC